ATATTGAAACTTAAGAAATCTATAAGAATACATGCTATATACACTTAGGACATAAAAGTAAATAGCAAAATTGATTGTATAACATTGTATTAAATCATAAGGCACACTATAAATACTTTAGCATTTGCATAATGGAACAAAAGAAAATTTTCCACATTGATATAGAAGCCAAAAAAGCTTAATATAGTGCTGGAAATCAGTCAGTCTGTACAAAAAAAACTTCTGTGGAGCAAATGTTAAGACTATTGACCAAATTAGAATGTTGTTTAAATAAAAACTGAAAATAATTTTAAGAAATAAATGCATATTTATATTATTTGCAAAATAAACTCATGCATTTCATCCCTTATTTGGTTGTCCAAATTTAGGATGAAATAGGATTTCAGATTAGAAGGAAAAATGCTTCAGAGTATACACAAGAGTATACAAAGCACCTGTCGGTACACATTACACCTGTCAGAAACTCCTTAAATCAACTACTGGTAGTTCTCGCTTACATCTGCCCTTTCCAATTCTAGGAAGAACTGTAGAATGCTACTAAATTCTTACACCATAATTTTTCTGTAAAATCTGAGTAAATGCACATTTGCAACAACATGCTTCTTATTCACTTTGGAACGTGCAATATTTAATCTTAGAATCTCTCAGTGAATGCTTTTGACAGAAGGATACATCTTAACATCTACCAAGGTTTCACAATGCAATAAACAAAACACCACCAAGCACAATCATACCTGTTACACCCACTTTTAATTGCAATGTGTGTTCAAATTTTAACATTTAGACTAATTGTCACATGATTGTCTTTTGCAATCTCCTGCTGGCTTCCCCACTGATTGCTGAAATCAGCATCCTAAACAAAATTACATGGGGATGCTGTGACAGCCACAATTACAAGAAAGTGTACTCTAAAAGAACAGGCTTAAGAAGCTTGGGATGTTCAGTTTGATGATTTAGGGGAGTCTTACTAGTTATGTTCAAGTTTATGCAGGAAAGCTACAGGATGTTAATCATAAGCTATTCATGGGCTCAAAACCCAAGCCCAGAAATAACATATAAGTTACAGCTACCTACATTTCATTTAAATATTGGATAAACACAGCATCAACTTTAGCTACAAAATGATAACTAAGTACTTGTTCTAGGAAAAACTGTAGAAGGCTACTGAATTCTTACATCACAATTTTTCTGAAAAATCTGAGATCCAGTGAATGTACATTACAGTAACATGCTTCTTATTCACTTTGGAGCATGGAACATTTAATCTTAGAATCTCTCAGTGAATGTTTTTGACAGAAAGATACAGCTTAACATCTACCAAGGTTTCACAATGCAATAAACAAAACATTACCAAGCATATTCATACCTGCTACACCCACTTTTAATTGCAATGTGTTCAAATTTTACCATTTAGCCTCTCTAATTGTATTCCTTGCATACTCACCTTTAATAGAATGCGTTCTAAATAAGTACCCTAGATCAAGCAGAGAGTACATTCAGAGTAAACAATGCAGTACAAGTCCCAAGGACAGAATTAAGATTCCCATCCAATGCAGGAAGCACAGAAAATAAAAACTCCTTTACCTTTGATGTGTTTACCGAAACTGCAACACCAAGCTTAATAGGAGAATAATGTAAAAAAGGGCTACAGTTAAATCGCTTGCATCTAATGGACAGACTTTTAAATTAGTGAAGATCCTTAGCTCTTTCTCCCCAAATGTAGGCATATTTTCTACAGTTTAAATAAATGTTTTATTTCAAGATACTGAATTGAGAAAATTAATTTCAAAATGAAGAAACTATTGATCAAGAAAGGTTCATGAAAAAGGACATATTGTCCAACTGCTTTTTTAGAAGTCCCACATCTTCTCTTTCTAAGAGGCTTGGGCATTAAGTCCACATAATACTCAAATTCTTGATCTCAACTCCAAGCCTAGAAATATGAATTTGCCGCTCATCTTGAGGGCAATCTTATAGGTGTCCACTCAGAACTAAGTTTGAATTCAATGGGTATTTTTTAAACCTGTAAGGTTTAAAGCAGTTTACCCAACACAGATTGCTCCAAGAACAAAATAAATCCACAAAGAATATTTTCTGTATTTTCCATTTCACATTCTGTAGACTTATTTACCTTTTACACTTTCTCTTTTTAATTCACACTTTCAAACATATTATGTGTCAAATTCTTTTGAGAATCTTACACTCAGGAAGTGAGGCCTTTCTGAATGCAAAGCAGGTTCCATACCAACTAAACCAGGTAAGCATTACTGTCTGCTTTCAAACCTCTATCCATCTCAAACAGAGAAGCAAGCATTCAAAAGTTTTGAAAACGATACAACAAAACATCTGGATTCTGATCAGGGGTAAGGTGCAAAAGGTTAACAGTTTAATGAAATGAAACAGAAAGTATCTTAACTGTTACTTAAGATGAGTCTGTAATAATTGAAAACAAGATCGTATGCTTGATCTGTTCTCCTAAAGTTGATATAAAACATACGGGGGAAACTAGATCTAATTTTGTTTTGGTACCAATGAGATTGTCACTGTTAGATCAGCACACCCCAACATTAAAACTAACTTTCGAAGTGTGTGAATAAACGGGGATATCGCTCAGCAGACATCTGCTTTCAATTTCAAGCCTCCACGGACAATCGTCAAGGATTAGTTAGGATGTAGGACTTTTGGCGCCCCGTCAAGTTTAAAGAGGAATTAAGACTAACGCCATTCCACAAATACTGACTCCAAGGAAGCCTCCCAGAGCGCCACTCCGGCCCTCCGCCTCGATACCCCTGAGTGGCCAGAAGAGAGCAAATCCTGGCGGGTTATTCCCGCTTCGGAGGGGAACCCGCCCACCGCTCAGCTGTCCGAAGCACTTGGCGCGCAGGGGCTGCTTCTGGGGTGCCAACTCCTCGCTTACTTCCCCACCCGAAGCGCCCCGAACGTCTTTCCCCGCTTTCCCGAGGGTACCTGCTGGTCTCCAGGGACGAATAGCGTTCGGGCAAAATCTGAAGGCTGCGTTGAAAGAAGCGAACGTGGCGTTCCTTGAGGAAATCCAACCTTTCCCCGTCCCCAAAGCCTCCCTCATCTTCCACCAGCACCGTGCTCGCCATGTTGGTCTTCCGCTTCCTACTCTCACACGCAGCTCCGTCACCGGCGGCACGGTCATGTGACACAGCCCCAACGCCGGGCCTTTTTTTTCCTCCCCTTTTCTGTTTAGCGGCCGCGACAGCAACAACCGGCAGCTGACAGGGTTTCGTTCCGCCTCTTGCGCCTGAAGGGGTGGGATTAAGGGGCTATGGCGCCAAGCGAAAAGCAATTTTAAAAATGCTCCGATCGTTCGTGCCTGGCAGTTACCCGGCAATGGGTAGCAATGGGCAACTTTTTCCTGATAGTATATCTGGTACATACACACATTCATGGGATCAGACATACACTGTTGCCAATAAAGGAGAATATTTGTAGCTCAGGGTGGAAATCAGGATGTTCTCAGAGCACTCATGATGTTACCTAGTTAGGGTAATGAAACGGCTGCAGAACCTCAGAGAGCACCAAGGATCCCTCACACACTGTTGCAAAATTACAGATTGTATCTGTTTACATGGCTTGACCCAGAAAAATTAAGATTTAAAAACTTTAGAAGGTTCTATGTGCAGAATATAATATAATTTCTGCCCCAAGAGCCTTCTGAAATTATGTATTTCTCATTGATAAAACACTGATAAAATAATTCAAACACCATATACTACAAAGGCTGACATGGGTTATTAAAATTGAGGTATTGAACGGCAAAACATGGATCTGTACTATATTTTATGCAGGTCCTCTAGATTTTTACAGGGGAACTTCCAAACTTCCAAAATTACCATCAAATCCTAAAATATATCTGAGGTTGTACAATTAACATCAACATTTTGTTCAGTAGCATTACAATGACAGCAAACAAGGAATTATGTCACAAAATTTTCTGCCTGGAAAATTTTTTACAGGGAGTTTCCATGACACAATACTCATTCTTACAGCATCAGCATTGCATTTAAGAAGGATGTGCAGGATCCCAAACGCACCCTTTCTTTTGGAGTTTAGGGATAAACAAAACAAAAAAGTTATGGAACTTTATTTTCATATATGATAACTAGGGCAAGATTACAATATATGTGCATTGTTTTCATTATGTAAATGCATTGTTTTCATTATGTACAACAATATATATATTGTACATAATGAAAACAATGCACTTACAATGTATGGTTTTGATAATTAGAAAAACAACTGGATAATAGAGTGAGCTTTCTTTTGTCATCATAAGAGATCATTTTGTAATTGTATTGACAGTATATTTGCTGCAAAAGAAATCAAGTTTTTATTCATTTCCCTTTGGGCACATTTTACTTTTTTCCTTTTCTCTCTTTTTTTCTGCTTTTTCTTTTTAGTTTTTATGTTTTTTGTAAAACATTTAAAATAAATTTTAAGATGCACAACAATCATAGACAAGCTTACTTTGAACCATTTTCAATTGTCTGGAAGACACTGCAGAAAGAAAATACTGTGTCTCTCTCTGGGGTTTTTAAAACTGTTATTTATTTATTCGTAAAAATTATTAGTTTTGAAGGATGGCGATTAAGAAACAACTCATTTCTCTATAACACGAGCTTATTATTTTCTATCCATTTAGGAACATTGAAAATATCTGCTTTCCTTCTTAAATTAATCTGAGATACATTATGTAATCAATCTAAGTAAAGCAAAGAAAAAACATGTGTAAATTTTCTGTTTATTTCTGGGTTGAAAATAACAGTGAAAGTATGTAGAAAGCAATACATTTACTTTTTTCTGAGCTTTACAGAAAGAGGTAATTTGCTACATCCAGGTTTTAGAGAAAACAATTCAAACAAAAAAAAAAGCTTTTGCAAGTACTTTACACAATGAAACAATATATACTTGATTTTTATTTAACATAACATTTATACAACATTTTTCATATATAATACAAACTAATATAACAATACATTGTGTTGTTATATTATCTTCAAACAAATTATTTGCAGATATCCAATTATAATCCCTGTCGCCAGCTTGGGACAGCCCTATCAATGTAAAAATAGATTAGTATCTTGCAAATACATTAATCATATAAAACTACATTAATAATATAAATATTTAAACATAAGGTAATTTAAGATGTACATTAATCATATAAAATATTTCAATTTTCTCACCTATGAGGAATATACAACACTGGCCCTGTACCTACAGGTCCAATTTCTTTTGTTCGTTCTTCCCAAACTTTTGTAGGTCTGAATAACCTGCATGGATCCCGAGTTACATTAATGTGAACCTGGTAATAGTGAAAACACAGAAAAAATAATTGAAGGCAACTGCAAATACAAATGAATTAAACAATAAAGAGTAAGAAGTAAACTTGCACAGCACTGTATTTTCATTATTGCAGACCCCAAAATACTATTAGTTTGGATTACAGACCCAGCAATTTATTATGCATCTGATTCTTGTTGAATACTTAGAACAAAGATACAAATCAAGAATGATGACTACTAACAGAAAAGAAGTCAAATGGGACCAGAAAGTAATTACAGAGTAGTACCAAACCTGATAGAACCAAGACCTCTAGAAATACAAAAATTAAATTTCAGTCCACCAAGATTATTACTCCAACATTTTAGAATTATCAGCCTATGGATCATGATTAGATGCTATGTTTCCATTACTATTACTAATAATTAAAATGTCAACTAAAAGATACTCCTTTGGTCTTTTCAGCTGCCAAAAAAGGGAGTGGGGAAAAACAGTGCATTCCTTAAGTGCCTAGATAATTACCCTGGCAGCCCAAAGTTGTTGGAGCACAAGAATATTACTGGAGAGCATGATTGATGACTCTTGGGGATGGATGTGTCCCACTGGAGAATACACATCCAGGGGGTGGGGGGAAGACCAGGGTCAAGGGGAAAATAAATGATGTAATTTAGTATTGGCTGCATCCAGTCAACACCAACATGGCCACTTCTAATAAATCAATTTTCTTTCCTCTGAGATGCGGTTAGGGACTTATGATTTGAATGGGGGTGGGTTTGTTGGAGTCCTGACATAAAATTTAATAAAAATAATATATATTCACATATTGTTTAATATTTAAAGTTCAATTGAAAACAATTTTGCACAAAGTAGCTTTACTGAATTCTATGGGGCTTACTAATTACCATATTTTTTGCACTATAATACACCCCAAAATATATGACACACCTAGCTTTTGGGGAGGAAAACAAGAAAAAAAAATCTGCCTCTGCCTCCCAGCAATTTGCCTCTTTGCAGCAAACAGCATGGTCAACTTCAGCACAGCCTGATTTAGCATGAGCAACTGATTGGCAGTTGGATCTGCCTCCCAGAATACCACCTATCAGCTGTTTCAGGCTGCGGGGATCTCTGCTGCCCATCACTGTCATCAACGCCCATCACCTCCAACTATCGCCGCCTCCACGTGCATCCCATTTTCAGCCCATTTCAAGTGGTGGGGATTGAAAATGGGGTGCACAGTGGCCGAAAATGGGACACGCGGAGGCAGAGATGGCGATGGGCAGCATCAATCCCCGCAGTCTGGAACAGCTGATCCGCAGTATTCCAGGAGGCCAATCCCACCTCCCATCAGCTGCTCATACTAAATCAGGCTGTGCTGAAACTGACCAGGCTGTTTGCTGTTTGCTCAAGGAGGCAAATTTCTGGGAGGCAGAGATCGAAGAGTGGGGACCGGCAGGCGGGCGGGACTTCAGCAACATCTGCTCTGTAAGACGCACAGACATCATTTCCACCTGTTTTTTTTGGGGGGGGGGGAGTGGGTCTTATAGTGCAAAAAATACGGTAGATACGAGGCATTAAACTAAAGTCTGAGTCAACAATCCTAAAACACTTAGAAGAAACACCAAATAAATCCATTAGGAAGTACTGTTGATTCATCATCTCTACAGTTTTAATTTAAATTTAATTTCTAGAGAAGAGAAGGCAATTAGATAAGAACCCATTTTATTTTTAAAATGACCTTATGCAGTTTGCACACCTAACTGAGTTACTCTCAACTCAATTTCTTTTCCATTTTCCATCCTAACCTATTTACAACTTTTCCCCTTGCTTCTGTATGGGCGACTAAATTCCAGTTTCAAGATGTTATATAATGACATTTCAATAAACTATCATATGTGATAATTTTTAAATGCCAAAGTTCTTTTAAGTCAGAAATGTACATGGGACTGAGGTATATAACATATTAAATTCTTACCTTCTTTTTCAGCTTAGACAATCTTTTTTCTTTTTCAATCTTTTCATCTTCCTTTGCCTGCTTTTCTAGAACCTTCAGCTCAAGTTTATGCAGATCCTGAATAAAATTAATGAAATATTGTACACTTTCTCTGTCTCTCTCCCCCTCTCTCCCTCCCACCAGGAAGTCTTGTTTGAGATAAGCCACCATATAAATTGAATAAATAAAATAAACAAATAAGAAAACTTATAGAAATAGTTTGTCGTTTTAACAGCTTAATTGTCAGTCCTAACTGTGACCACTAAACAGGAACACAGGGATGCCCAAGCCAAGAATTGCAAAAACCTGCTTTGGAGACCTTTCTGCAGGCAGAAATAATATAAAGATCAAATATTGGTTAATGGATTTTTAAATTTTTAAATTGGATTTTTTTCAAGTCCAAATTTAAAGCAAGTGCTTGATAAAAACTGAACGCAATTGGAATATACAGTATTAACAATAACCTCACTACAGTCTTTGCTAATGCTAATACTGGAATGTGATATTAGTGAACAGCCTAATATCTGTCTAAAAGTACAAGTCAAACATGGTCAATGAATAAGAAATTTGATATGTAGGCAAGCAAGGGTCATTTGATTAAAAATATAAGGAGAGTCTAAATATGAAATTCAATTAGGAAGTGAAGCAAATAAAGGACCACATTTTTGCCTTATATGGACTTGAGAAATATGTTTTTAATCACCTTGAAGATAATAAAACAAAGGTAATTGGTAAAGGTAATATATCTTTTGATATAGTTTGTTCTCTGAAGGGAGGTTGGCTGCTCTCCTTATGGCCTTCTGAAGAAGAGTGAAGAATTGTTCTTTCAGAACACCTTTAGAGGTTGCTTGGCTATTGTTCTCAGAAGTGAGATGATTAGTTTTATTGCTATTGTTATATCATCATGATATATATGCTATTTTGTTATTCTGTAATATTTAGTATTTTACCCAGAATTGGCAAATACCACTCTTACAGATAAATAAACTGCAGTCTATTCTGACATTTTCAAACTTAATATAGTATATTCTTTGATAACAGCATGTAGAAGATCCTTCTTTTGCTTTAAGGAAATACTGGGGAGACAATTGCAACAAGCATTTGTTTTTCATAATCACTGTCTCATCAATTCAATTCTTGATTACCCCTATCAAATGGTTATTTTAAGCCTGTATATATAATTCTTTTATAAATAATTCTTAAGATTTGCCATTTTTAATGGAAACAATTATATCCAGATGAGACACAACAATTGAATTTCAATGTACATCACAAAGAAGCTTCATACAGTAACAGAATTATCCTTCTCATATGAAAACACAAAGAAACCTGAAATAAATATGGAAGAGATAAACAAGACTACTCACTCGTTCTTGGAATTTAACAATTTCTTCTGCTGCAGTTCTTTTCTTCTCTTCCCTTTCAGCTTCCTCTCTTTTTTCTTTTTCAAATCTCAGCAACTCTTCTTGTTCCTTTTTCTCTCTACTATAATCTTCCAACAATAACTTCATTTGAAGTTGCCGCTGACGTTCTCTCTGCTTTTTTTTCTCCTTCTCTTCTTCCTCTTTTAACTGAGCTTCCTGTTTTGCTGCAGTTGCAAGTGCTTTGTCTTTCTTCCATGCTTCAAGCTCTGCTAATCGTTTTTTCCTTTCCTCTTCAGTTTTCTGCTTCTGAGTTTCTTCACGCTCACGTTGAGTATCAGTGGGCACTTCCTCAGGATTCTCTTTCTGGACTAATATTTTACTCTTTTCTCGTTTCTTCATCTTCCATTTTTGAATGGCCTAGAGGATTAGAATAAAATGAATAAAATAATTCATAAATAAATAAATTTATCATGCTATTTCTAATCATCTAAAGGAAAACAGGACCTAAGATGTACAATGGGTGTCTTCATGATTCTGAAGAGATGTTAAAAATCTGTTTGACAACTGTGAGAAACAAATTACTATACTAGGATGGGTTTTGGGATGATCTACCAGAGCTTTTCTGGTCTTATAACTATTAGTCATAAGTCAAGGACTACCTTATTATGATTAGGAAATAACAACTAAACGACTGTAATACTTTGTTAGATTATTTAATGCTTTCACATTTCAATGGAACAGATTTCCATAGCCTTATTAGATTTGAGTCTTAAATGCAGAATTATGCATTCTGATTAAAGTTGAATAAATTCCAGTTTGTATGACTATCACCAAACCTGGAGAATAGAGAAACAATGAACAACTAGGTGAATGTTTGTTGGTGAGGAAATTATAGGCTCTAAGAATTTTTAAAAAGGGACACAGAATAATAAAAAGAGACAGAAGGAGAATGAAGTGGTGTAGTCTAATATAGAACCCAAAGAAGAACGATCTATTTTTCCCAACTACAGATAGTCCTCGAGTTACAAACACAATTGAGCCCAAACTTTATGTTTGTAACACAGTTGTTAAGTGAATCTGGCTTCCCCACTGACTTTGCTTGTCAGAAGATCGCAAAAGATGATCACCCAGAATACTGCAACCATCATAAATATGAACCAGTTGCCAAATATTTGAATTTTGATCACATGACCATGGGGGTGCTGCAATGGTCATAAGTATGAAAATCAGTGATAAATTACTTTTTTCTGTGCTGTTGTAACTTTGAACAATCACTAAACGAATTGCTATAAGTTGAGGACTACCTGTACAATATTCATGGTTATTGCAACAGTACTTCAACATGTTCTCATGTTCCAAAGCACTGAACATTATCAGCTATACTTACTACATCATGTAAACATTCTTCTTAAATCTAATTTCTAGCATAACAATTAATAGTATGGAATTTATAATTCTACCACATCAAAGGGTACCAGGTAAGGGAATATTGATGAAAATGGAAAGCATTTACATGCTAGCATAAATAAATAACTATTGGTTAAGAAAAAAATAATTGCATAGATCAGTTCTAGTATACACTGGCACTATTAAATTTATGGACAAATGAACTGGCAAAATTATCTCACCTCCTTTTTCTGTGACTCTAAAATTAGAAATTCTTTATGCCATTTCTCATGTGATTGAATGTCTTCCTTTGTTCTATCAGGGAGGTGTTCAAGGGTTTCAGTGATGTATGATGGTTTCCCTTTATGTTTTCTCCAAATTCTTAGGAAGATTTGATGATCACATTGATCCCAACCTCCTTGCCTTCCTCCAGTTTGCTGAAGAAATCTTTCAAGCTCAATGACTTCTTCAGGAAATTGATTTTGGACTTCCTTATGTACTGGAAATACACACTGCTTGAAAATTCTTGCAGCTGAAGTTCCTACAGCCCACATCTCAATTTTTCTTTCTAAGGCACTGATCTCATTTGTAGCAGCATTCTCCTCTCTTAGAAGTTCATCATAACTAAAATTTTAAAAAATATAAAAAAATAATCTAACATAAAATAAAAAATAATGTGACTAAATCTGTGCCTAAGTTTCATGAACAGCTTGTAAAAGTTGTATTAACTGAACAAGTATACAAAGCAGTGTGATGTGATATCATTTTGCTGCTCATACCACATGGCACTCAGAAAATCCAAATGGGGTTTTGCATGTATATATTTAGAAGAAATCTTTAAATCCTGACACTGGTAGCAAACCTCAGAAATTTTCTTCAGAGATCTTTAAATCATAAATATATAATAAAATGTAAATATGATTCTTACAAAAGCCAAATACTGTATTGCCTTAAATAATTAAACACAAAGTAAAATACATATTTAAAATTAAAACATTTGGGTTAACTTTTAATTCACTGTTTTTTATACATTAGAAATATAAATCAAAGATAAAAATAATATAGCACACTTCAGCACATTAAAGATTTTTCTTTTACATTCCTAACACAAAACACACACACACACATACACACTTTTATATCAATAGCACAAATTGGTCAAAATTATTGTCCCTTCCTTATTATATAAGTTAGATTGAAAGAAAAGTAGTTTGGCCATGGCCGCCAGACAAGCTCATAACAAAAATGTTAAACAAACATTTCTGTATGAACTGCTCAATCAGCTAAAAAGCACATTATGTGGCAAAGAGAATGTCTTCTACAGGGATTATTAGCCTTGACTTCCCTTTCTACTTGACTCGAGAACATAATTTTCTTTCCTGAAATTTAAAAAAAATGGAAGAAAAAAGACTATCATCCTCCATTGCTCCCTATGTCTAATGTGGACTTCTGGAAACAGCCAAGAAGATGCTGCTATATTCTGCAATCTAGCCATACATTTTAATTTTATTATTTAATTTATATGCTGAATTTTGATTTAAATGGAACACTCATGAAAATTTACAATTTGAAACATAAAAAATCCCTAGTGGCCAAAGGGAATTTAATCGTTGATTTTTATAAAGATGATAAAAGAGAATATTTCATGTCTTTAAAATGCACTTTACTATTTTATGGGTTACAACATATACAATATTACTAAATATATCTTCATTACATAAACACATTTAGCTTTTGAGAATAAACTGAATATTTAAAGTATTGATATTATATCAAATACTAAGAGTCAGGGTAGATTACAAATTGCTACAAGACTGCAAATTTAGAATTTACTTTCTACACGCCATTTGTAGTTTGTACTTCAATGGTTTTTTTCTAACACTATCAAAGGGCTTTGTGGTTATTTATGCAGAAATGCTAATTTACTGGAAAACTGTTTTAATAAAGTTAGATTTGTATCTTTTTGTATTCTTTCATTTTTATTAACTTTTTAAACATTATATGAATGTTTCCTATTTAACATTTTCCTATTTAGTTAACTTATGGTAACAAAACCCAATATATACATATTTTAATTAAAAGAACATAAATACATTTGTCGCTGCTCTTCTTTAAAAGAACTTATTGCTGCTTCAGCTTCTTCCATCATTTCTCTAAGCTTGTCAACAACTACAAAAGAGAGAGGAGATAATGTTTGCTTATCAAAACCGAGAAGTTCAAATGTATCACAAAGTATAGAAAGGTAATGTATCTTAAATAATCCAATTTAAAAGTAAAAATATAATAAAAAAGAGAGGAGATTTGATATATGCAAGTGTGCTATTCCGAAAATGTCTGTGTCAAGAACAGAAGCATAAACAGAAAATACATTAACAAAATCAAGTTACAATTAAATGATCTTGATCTAGAACAGGGGGCTCAAATTTGTGGTATCACATCATCATGGGATGTATCGCAACTTTTTCCCCCTTTGCTAAAACGGGGGTGGGTATGACCAGCGTGTGACACATCCAGCCCGCAGGCTACGAGTTTGACACCCCTGATCTAGAATAAGAAGATTTTAAAATTTGATAAACTTCTTGTATCTTTAACAGTGAGACAGAAAAGAGAACTTTAGCAGCAGAGGCATCCCATAATCCTTCCTTTGCTAGAATTTCTTCATTTATACAACAATTCAAGCTGAAGGAGTCTAATTCCATTTTCTATCTAGTCACTTTGATTTGATCACAGATAAAGGGATAATTGCAGCTATTTTGATATTAATATAAAGTCACAATACACACTGTATATGTAAATATGCAAATGTCTAGGGTGATGTCATCCTTTATAATTTTTTAATAAGAGGTTATTTGCATTTTATAAGTTTGGGAAAGTGTGTTTGGTGTTGTGGCTAAGGCGCTGGCTTAGAAACCAGAAAACTTAGTTCTTTGGATATGAAACTTGGCTTTGAGGCAGTCCTCCTCTCTCAGCCCAGTTCACCCCCATTTGATTGTGAAGAAAATAGGAGGCAAGAAGTATGTACATTGCCTTGAGTTGAGCAATTAAAAAAAGTGAAATAAAACAATAATAGTTATGCATATGAAAGCCAACAGCAACTAAAAAAACTGGCACATATGATTTTACACTGTTGTGTAAACAGTAGGTGGATAAAAATGCCAAATCTCGTCTGAAGATCTGGCTAACTGCGATGAACCATGATAATGAAAATCAAAGTTGGAAGGTTATGGCATAAACTAGCCATAATGGTTCCAGTAGTTATCGGCATACAGGGTGATACACCAAAAAACCTTGGGAAGCATTTATAAAATCTGCATATTGGCAAAATTTCCATTAGTCAATTGCAAAAGGTCACACTGCTTGGACATACTACACATACTACACTGATACCTTACAATATCCTAAGTTCTTTGGAAGCACTCAATATGTATGAAGATCAAAGGAGTGGCAGCTGTGACTTCACATTTTTGTGAACGGATAATAATTTCAACATGTTCCTTAGCAAGTGAACAGAAAACTATAAAGTCTGAAAGTTATCTTGCAACTAGCTGAAATGTGAAATTTAAAAAAACTTTTCAATTTTATAATTAAGAAATTGCAAAGTACTATTGCTAAAATACAGATAATTTATAGCACAATTATTCAAACTACTTTTAGCAATTTTGCTTGTATAACTAAAACATTAGCTGCTTACATTCTGGAGTTGGTTTCACATCTTTTAGCTGTCGCTGAAGTCCCTTAACAGCACTATGGATTCTAGTCAGTTTTTGTTGTATTTTTGCTTCTATGAAAAAAGTTCATAGCATTTTATTAGTATTTTTCCACTAGAAAATTATGTTGTTTTAATATCTTGCCCTCTTATAACTTTAAATTCGTTCACGTTCAAATATCATAAAAATGCACAAATGCCTAAAATATTGTTCTCTACAATTCTTAAAATAAATGTTAAGAAATGAAGCAAGAAATTTTGAGATATTAAGAATATGCTAAACAATTTTTGTAAGTCAGAACAGGAATGCATTATTTTACATGCAGTCAGCCAACTTTTCTTTATTCAAATGTCACTCCAAAAAACCTCCCTCCCCACCCCCACCTCCACCCCCGGCTGACTCTTTCTATATGAAGGTCCTTGACTGGCAATGAATGAAAAAAGTAAGATATCTTCCAAAACTGCTATTTTCTCTGCAGAGGTAATGGATAATCTGGCCATGGCAAAGTAAACTATTAGACAATTACTTTGAGGTATTATGGGTCTGGCTAATATTGTATAACTCCCAACAGGAAATCCATTGTTTCAATTAATGAAGATTTCCTAATCCGAAATAGTAAGATACTATTCTAAAGGTCCGCTAGTCATCATACAAACTGCAGAGAAGCACATTATGAAAACCTCAAAGCTGACCTGTTGTTTACATAACATAATGAATCAAGAACATATTTTCAGTCTTTTTAAAAATGGTTAATGAATAAAATATAAAATATCATTTTACTTTCTGTTTTCCGATTTTTAGTCAATTTGTGTTCGAGTTCTTCCAGTATGCAATATTCCATCGTAAAATCACTCTTCTTATTGAAAATAACATTCTTATGCTTTTGAAGGTTCACAAGTCTAGGAAAGGGACAAGATTTCTTGAAGTACATATATGACGAGGGACAGAATACATACTGCTATTAGATTGGTTTGATGCTAGAGCTTGATTTTATGAGCTGAGAGATTGATTGGCCCAAGGTGGCTTTCACCCAACTGGCTTTCATATCTCTTTGGAACGCCTGGGGGGAAAATGGAAAAATTGGGGGGGAAACGGGACAGTTTCCCATTTTTTCCCATTTTCTCCCCTCCCCCATTTTTCCCAAAGCCATTTGGGGAAAAAACCCTGTTTTTTCCCAGTTTTCTGGGGTTTTTTCCAGGCCTTCTAGCCTGGTGTCTTAAACCATTAGATCACACCAAGCTCTCTTTCAAACAAAGCATTCAAATAAAGCATATTAAATAAGTATTTTAATGGTCAGTAAATCCAATTTGTATATTAATATATACTAGTAAATAAATTTTAAAATAGTCTGCAACCACATGATTTTTATATGATATAAAACACCCCTTCATTTGCAGGCAAATTAGATATTAACAGGATTGGCCTCATAAAAACAGTAGTTGAAAGAAAACCATTCATCCCAAAGTATAGCACATAAAGAAGATGCCTGTGACATATAAACATCATAAATCCAATAATCCACAAAATAATCCTAATAAAATATTTGAAAATGTAATTTCAAAATAAATTAAATGTAAATTAAAACAGCCATGTAAACAAGCAATAGATAAATAAAGATATTATTTCCAGAAAGGAGAGAATTATTCAAAATTAAATTTAGGATGAAAACGATTGTTCCTTAAAAGTAAAATGAATTATTTATTCATTGGATCTATTCCTGCCACAATCAAAGGCAGTTTATGATACATCCTTGAAAATTATAAAATGTCCAAGGCTTCATATACCAAACCAAAAATAAAACATAATAAACTCAATCAACTCACTCCTCTCCCCAAAACATACAGACTGAAGACTTTCATACCCCAACAATTTGCTGCTATGAGAAGGGTGGCCAAATACATTATTTAAATAAATAAGCAAAATAGCAGTTTTTAATAGCATATAAAACTGATCACATTTCCAAGGGAAGACTATTCCAGGCCATAGGTACACCAATGGAAAACTATCTCTGTAAGTCTATACTCCACTCTCTTTGCAGATGTACGGATTCACTAGTAGATACCTTTTGAACCACAAGGACAAATTATGAAAATAAATGCTTGTGAAACTATACAAGCGACCTTAAAGGTTGATATAGTTACTTACACTGAATAAAAATATAATTTCAAACATTTTCTCTTTCTTACAATACCTGACCATTTTAAAAATACTTTATTTTTACTTTTTTCCTATGTCTTGTTTTAGAGAAGTTATACCATTACAGAATTTAAACTTACTGATTTTTTAGTTTATTGCCTGTTCTTATAAATTCAATTTTCTTAACTTGATCAGTTTTGGTCTTCCAACTCTGAAAATGTTGAAGAGCATCTGGAGCACTAAAACAGCTGCCATTCTATGCAAAACACAATTTTAAAAATCATTATAATCAAATATAGTAGTACATTTTCATTAAAGAGTGTTTAAAACATAAAGACAGGAGAAAGCTCAATTTAGACCTAAAACTACTTCAAACCTCATCTTAATTTTGTTCATTTTAATAACATGGTAAAATAGTAAAGGCAATTCTTCAGGTCCCTTCCAAAGCTAAAATGTTTTGATATTTTATTACCTTAACAAGCTTCAAAATTCTACAGCAAAGGACATTGAATACTTGAATGTTGGATTTGACAATAAAGCAGTAGAAAATTGAGATTTCCACCCCAAACCAGAGAATATTCAGGGGAGGGGGGCATTTAGCCAAAAGGACACACCATTTGCACAACAGGAAGATAGTAATATTTTCTCTGCAATTAAACAGTACAAAGAGTTCCATGATTTACAGTTTATTTAAAAGACAGATACATCAAACATCCAATTACTCTTCCCATTTATCTGTGTTTCCTTGACATGCATTTTGCCTAACTGGACAGCAATACTGTCTGGAATTGGAACAACAGCAAATGATAGAGGGCCCTGGCAGTTGAGACCAGGAGACAAATGCAGCCTTCAGAAGAAAATCTGACAGAGCACCCCAGCTTTACTGTCTGGGGAAAAAAGTAGCTTCTGCCTCCTGACTGTTGAGGTGAGCAAGCATCCATCACACACATAAATATGAAGTATAGACAGATATAAGACACCAAAAGCTGGACAGATCTTTAAATTTAATATTTAGAAGCAAAACTTTCAGCTTCAGATCACTGGTTGAAGGGATAGCAACTTTTCATAACGAACCATGGTTTCATAACTGCAGAAATTTGTATAAAGATTTTGGATTCTGCAAGCTCGAATGTATGGGGCTTATCCCTCTCCGTTTTCTCCTATACAGAACTTCAACTTCTGATCCGATTCAGTCCGCTCCCTTTAAAAGGACCAGGTTTTCTTGTCCATCTCCATGCCATGCCTCGGAAGAAATCGGCCATTGCCTGTGTGATACCGGACATTTCTGCTAAGATCCCCAGCTGCCCAGGTAAATCAATATAGATCTTCTAGCATAAGACTTCTCCTACTCGGAGCCTTCCAGAGGCGGCAAAAGATAACTGCCAGCACAGGAATTATAGCTCAGCTAACGTCCAGACCGGGTAACTTACTGGGGGACTGGGTGGGGTGGGGAGTTTGATCTCTGCTCGATATATCCAGCCAAGTCACGATCCCCCGCCTCCCGTTGTGCAACTGGGGAGGAAGGCTTTAATAGCGAAGCAGAGGTGGGCGAAATTACCTGTTGGTACCTGGTCCACCCCTCAAGCGCCGGCGTTGCTAGGGCGGCCATGTTCCAAGCCGAGAAATGAGGCGGGACAGCGCCGCGTCGGAGGGAGGTCCTTTCATTTATATGGTTGACGTCAGGCCGCTACGATGAAGAGTGGGCAACGGTTGGAGGCGTAGCCGTTTTGCTTTAGATGCTTTTTATAGGGGCTGCTCCTGGCAGTCAGTAGAGAAATTCAGATCGTTAATCTAGTTGTAAAATTAACAATATTCTAAATTTCGTATACTTCATTAAAAAAAGTTTGTCCTACTCCGTTTGTATTCTATGTGGATTAAAAAAAGTATGTTTTTAAAGTTCGTTTTGAGTCAGATCAAACTTAATTAACCCATTTATTAAAACTGGTCAAACCCCACTTTCCTAAAATGAAAACAAGTTGAAAGCAATAAAAGCAATTAAATAAGATTATTGTAATAAAAATGGGTGGATTAAAAATGCCAAATCTGAATTGTGGAGTTCTTGGTGTTCTCTGAACTTGTTTAGAGATGCTCCATTACAGGTTGACTGAAGATGATGGGGCTTCAAAGAGAGACAATTAGTGACAAAAAAAAAACATTTTATAAACTGTAGCTGCAGAACTACAAACAGAACAGTACAAAATGCTCAGAGGTACTAACAGTAACCTTTGCTGAAAATACTTCATTGCTAAATTTGGTTTTTGGAAATATGTTGCTCCTGGATTTTTTTATTTTTCATTTTACACAGCTTCAATTACGTTGGTGATTTTTCATGGTTTTTCTTTTGAATTTAATTAATTAGTGGGAAGCAATTGAAAGCCTGGAAATAGTCATCCAGGCACATTAAAGAAATTTGTTCCTATTGATTCTTTAATGGGTTGGAATCAGAGCTGGTATTCAGCAGGTTCTGACCAGTTCTGGAAAACCGGAGTGGAAATTTTGAATAGTTCGAAAAACTGGCAAATACTTCTTCTGACTGGCCCTGCCCCATCTCTTCTCTGCCTCCCAAGTACCAGCTGATCTGCTGGGTCTTCTTTGGTTGCCCTGCACAGGAGAACAGAGTTGGAAAGCAGGTTAGTGGGGTGGGGAGGGAATGGAGATTTTACAGTATCCTTCCCCTGCCATGCCCACCAAGCCACTCCCACCAAGCGACACCACACCCACCAAGCCACACAGAACCGGTAGTAAAAAAATTTGAATCCCACCACTGGTTGGAATGAGAATCTCCTATTTTAGTTTCACACAACATTGCTCTTTAATCCTTGATTAATTTGGAGTGTTACAATAAAATTTTCAAATGCAGGTAGTCCTCAACTTATGACCACATTTGAGCCCAAAATTTCTGTTGCTAAGTGAGACATTTGATAAGTGCATTTTGTCCCATTTTATGAATTTTCTTGCAAAGTTGTTAAGTGAATCACTGAAGTTACTAAATTACTAATACAGTTGTTAAGTGAATACGGCTTCCGCATTGACTGCTTGTCAAAAGGTCGCAAAACAAAATCACATGACCCAAACAATTGCATCGAATATGAATAAAATAAATAAAGACACTGATAGACTCTTTGGAATAAGATAAACATTTTAAAATATATATAATTCCAGAATACTTTTTATTTGTTTAAATCTGTCTTCAGAAAATATTTTCAAAAAAAACAATACAATGTTTAATAAATGCTGATGAAGTTCTTCAGTTACCCCAAAATATTTTTGGAAAAGATATAATTCTCAGTTAAAGTGTGGGGAAGGGGGAATCTTGAATTGAAGATTAGTATAATTGTGGGGGAGGAGATCAAAAAAGGGGTAGAATCAAACATTTCAACTTAGGTCCACATATCTATCTTTTCCATATGCTTGGCTCTCCCTTCTTTTTCCAGTCTTTTTATCTGTGTCTCTGGTAATCTATTTTTACCTTTTGCTCTATCTTTATTGTGTGTACTCCCACAAATGCAGAAGTTAGAGTTATTTTTTTTAAAGTTCATAATGATGTCAAGTACAGTCATACATCTTCAAACTTGAAGCTGAAGTTCACAACCCTTTAGTGAGCATCCATGAATTTATTATAGCACTGTGAGATTGCTCACAGATGATGACTGCCATTTTGTACATGGCAGTCACAAAGCACTCACTTACTGGAAGGCAGACAGATGGGGATGCTGCTTACTACACATCAGTTTACTTTTGGGGAGCAGTTCTGGTTCTAACTAAGTAAGAACGGTAGATTGTAATTCCTCATTTTGGATTTCTTAGAATACCTATGGGGCAGAGATGGAACCCAGATGATTATAATTAATATGGGCATTGTTCCTTGGCTCTATATTTAGCTTCCCATTTAATGTATTAAATTATTAAATATTAAAAATTAAATTGGTCAGGAACCCTACTGATTCCATTGGAGGTTTGTAAATGTATATTGATACCTCAGGGCAGTGGCCTCCAACCTTTTGGGCACCAGGGACTGGTTCTGTGGAGAAAGGTTTCTCTGCACATCAGAGCGTGTGTGGTTTCACAAGCTACCTGCATCCCGCAAATGGGACTTCACTTATTTGCATGGTGGCATGCCATAGACCTGGGCCAGTCCACGAACCAGGGATTGGGAAGACCCCTGCCTCAGGGCATCATGTCAGAAACACCATACCAAGTCAATGTAACACTTTCTATAAACATTTGAAAGCTAAATTCACATAATTATGTAAAGTTGCTAAAATTATCTTATATCTCCTGTAATTATACTAGTTTGGTATCTGTCCACACCAGCATGGGCCAGGAAAGAGCCATATATACTTGCTTGGATACTGTCTACTGTTTCTGACTGTTTCTAAAACCAGTGTAATTACACATATGCAGTATAATTTTAGCAATGTCACCATTCACCGGCTGGGTGACTTTGAGCCAGTCACTTTCTCTCTCTCAGTCCAATCTACCTCGCAGTATTATGGGGAAAATAGGGGTACTGTACATGTTCTCTGCCTTTAGTTACTTGCAAGGTAATAAAGACAGGATAAAAATATAATAAATAAGTTCCTACATAATTGTGATCTTTAAATATTTGATTTTGGACAAATCCCCCCAAAAGACCTATGAGTTTGCTCTAGTAATTTGGATTTAGTCTGTCACAAGATAAAAGGAAAGCTCAAGAAGTTTTACATGTAAATGTATGAAAACGAAAGTCCCATTGTCAGATTGCCCAAATGTGGGCAATCCTCTCTCATTTTTAACTGTGATTTGGGAACGGACCTTGTTCATATCATATCCAATTCCCATAGCTTTCCTTAAAACCCAAGAGAGAAAATAAGTTCCCTTTTATTTTAAGTAAGGAAACACCCACAATATATTTGATGCATCTATACGGAAGTAAGGACTTCAAACCCACATTCTTAGATTAAAATTCCTATGACTTGTTCATTGAACTGAAGCTGACAAGAAGGCTGTCTGGCCAGGGTACAAAACACAAAGCAGCAAAATAAACTTGGCTAACTCCTAATAACAGTTGATGAGCAAAAATGTCAAAACTTCATTTAGGATTATCGTTACCAACGTTTTACATCATTAGTGCATGAAGCATAGCTATCATAATAAAAGAAACTGTAAAGGAGAACAGCAGTGAAATTTAGAAACAACAACTCAGTTTTAAGAGGAATGGTAAACAAAAAAAATGTGTTTCAAAATTGCCTTCTCTGGCCAGCAGATGTCATTAAAAAAAAACCAACATGGCAGATTCCACATGAAGATAATATTGTCTCTTAAATTTAATTGCTAGAGATAATGCCAATACAATGATACAAAGGAAAAGAGGGGGCAGTAATGCTCTACTTGGACTAAGGTACCAATAAAAACCTCATCAGCTGCTATTTATCTGAAAGAGAAACTTCTTTTGCTGCCAGCATCTCATCAAAACATTTTGTAATCACTCAACTCAGCAGTTTGTAACTTCGATGAAAGATACAAGGCAGTTTCTCCTATTAGTGTTAATGCACATTCCTTCTGTTGCTGAGTTGGCAGAAAAGTGTGATGACATAAACTGCACTGTTCTGACCCAGGCTTTGTCAAACTTAATAAAACACAAACTGAATTTAAAAGTAAAACCTTTTTTAATGCGACACTGGGAATTACTAGTATTCCCAGCCAAAACTAATTAGACACAGTTCCTCCAGATAAGAGCATGCTTTTCAGTGCTGTAGATTGCTTACTAACAAACAGAAGTCCAATTAAGGCTTAACATAAACCAACTCAAAAACCTATAAAAAACTGACCAGAGTACAGAGCTTTAAGATGGACTCGGAGATTACTGAATTGCTTTGCTTCTTGCAAAGCTCTTCGTCATTCAGGACTGACTTTTATCTCTTATGGGAGGGGCAATCACCTCCCAGCTTTACTCCCAAGTCGCTCCTTCTGCTTCAGCTGCTCTCGCCTTCTAGCAGCTCTGTGCATACACACACTGGGAACAGGCTCCCTGGGGCCTTCTGCTTTGCTGTTGCCAGACTCCGAAAGCTCCAAAGGCAGCACCCCACTCTCAGATGGTCCTGGCCCCATCCCTGCATCAGATGCAGGACCTTCCTCCAAGTCCTCGCCAGACTCCCTGACTGGTTCCCTTTTGTCCTCACTATCCGATACCTCTGCTGTCCACACGGGCTGCCACAACATGCACAATCCCCACAATGGTGCTGTACATACAGATTTAACTCGGGATACTTTCAGGGCAGCAATTGGAAGATTCTCTGGCTTCTTTTCTTGTGTGACCCAACATTGCCTGTGTGACAGGACATAGCAAGGGGACTCTGAACACCCCTTCTTCTTCTTTCCTCTTTATCGTATGTCCTAGGTCACCAGGTTGCTTAGTTTTGGGGATACTTTCTGCAATGCATACCAACCAGCTTCTCAATTTTCTTAATCTAAAAATTATTTCTGCTTCCTTCTTTGTGCAGGAAAACGACAGATTTAGGGAGTTTTATCAGTGTCTGAAAAGCTAAAAAGCAGATGAATATATAATCTCCACAGTACCTTGATCTGTACTTCCAATTTACAATTATACTGATCCTAGGCATATTTACTCTGAAGAAAGTCTTGTCATTGAAACAAGGCAACTAGTCATGAGTAAGAGTGTATCAGAGTTTGGGACTTTTTAAAAAAAACAACACAAATTTTATTCAGTTTTTCACATTAAAAACAAAAATCTCTTTTCAGTGG